CTAACTAGTGGCTTGTCTGTTCTCTGACCCCAGGTAAGTTTATTAAGGCACACAATATTTTGGGGAACACAATACCCCCACAATGAACTGCATGATCTATTGCTGCCATATATACTGGAGTGTGACTGACTCACCTTGAAGATGAGAGTTCTCTAAGAAATCTTCATGGGTTTCCTTTGTCTCTCCAGGTTTCGCTGACCGAAACTCACTTCTCAGAGAAATCTTCCACCATCTAAAGATGATCTGTAGTTAAATAAGAGTTGGTAGCAATTAAAAATGAGTCTAACAGCTATCCTAAGTTTAGGGTGATTTGTTTGTTTGTTTTTATTTGTTTGTTTATTTGAGACAGGGTCTCATGCAGCCCAGGCCGACCTAGAACTCACCAAGTGGCTAAGACTGGCTTTGAGTGCTTGACTCTCTTGTCTCTGTCTACCAAGTGCTGGCAGCCTGGTCTACAGAGTAAGTTCCAGGATAATCAGGGCTACACAGAGAAACCCTGTAGCTAGAGTTTTCCTGCCCTGCCCACAGTCAGGACAAATCTCTGTCACCCGCCAGTCTCACAGCCGCTCAGACCCAACCAAGTAAACACAGAGACTTATATTGCTTACAAACTATATGACTGTGGCAGGCTTCTTGCTAACTGTTCTTATATCTTAAATTAATCCATTTCCATAAATCTATACCTTGCCACGTGGCTCGTGGCTTACCGGCATCTTCACATGCTTGTCCTGGCGGCGGCTGGCAGTGACTCCTGCCTTCCTGTTCTTTCTTTTCTCCTCTCTGTTAGTCCCGCCTATACTTCCTGCCTAGCCACTGGCCAATCAGTGTTTTATTTATTGACCAATCAGAGCAACACATTTGCCATACAGAACATCCCACAGCAAAACCCTGTCTCAATAAACAAAAACAAACAATCTATCAGGCCACTGAGGCTAGAGAAATAGGTCAGTGGTGAAGAGCTTTCATTTCATTACATCCATGTAGCTGTTAGCCACCATGTGTAATTACAACCCTAGGGGATCCAACACCTTCCCCAGGCCTCCTTGCACACTGCATGCGCCTGGTGCACAGACACATATGCAGGCAGAACACCCGGGACTGCAGTACTGCCGCCACGGGCAGGTCCTCCGCATCTCCCCACCTCCCCTGGGCTCTGACTGCTTCACTGCCCTGTTTTGCTCTTTGACCTCCCCACTATGAACCACATTCTGGCTTGAAAACAACAACAAAGAAACGCATGTTCCTTTGGTTACTTTTAATTCCCTTCATCTCTATAGGTTTGGACCTTACAAAAACCGTATATGTTGTCATTTTAGTGGTGCTGAAGGGATGAAAACTGGCAGTTCTGTAAGTAGAGGATGCGCTCTATAGTACCAAGATAAGATACTTAAAGTGCTACAGACTATGTGCAGCATTATCTTTTAAAGATTAAAAAAAATTGTTTTTGTTACTTTTAATTTTGGGGTATGAGTGCTTTGCCTGCACGTATGCCTGCGTATCACTTGCATGCTCCAGGTCTGATGGGGCCAGAACAAGGAGTTCAAGCCCTTGGAACTGAAGTTACAGTTCGATTAAAAGAAAATCATTCCTTCACAAATTAATACAAATGCAGTGCCAATAAATATTTGTCTGTTTTTTAAAATTGGCCAAATTCTTGTCAATTCATATGGTAAAATAAATGTACAGAAGTACTGGGGTAGCCAAAGAGTTAGGGAATTGGAGCCGGGTGGTGGCGGCGGCGGCGGCGGCGGCGCAAGCCTTTAATCCCAGCACACGGGAGGCAGGGGCACACGGATCTCTGTGAGTTCGAGGCCAGCCTGGTCTACAAAGCGAGTTCCAGGAAAGGCGCAAAGCTACACAGAGAAACCCCTGTCTCGAAAAAAAAAAAAAAAAAAAAAAAAAAAAAAAAAAAAGAGTGAATTGGCAGACAAAAAAAAAATTTCTCCAAGAGGAAGAAGCCTCCCCTCTCAGAAGTTTGCAAACGCTGTTGGAGTGGTGGTTTATCCCTGCATTTGAGAGGCTGAGGCAGGAGGAATTCCTGGTTGGCCTACAAAGTTAAATATTGCCTCTAACCTATACCCAACAAAACAAAATAAAACACACACACACACAAACCCAAACACCTCAGAGCCTAACATCTTACCAAGGAGTTCTCAAGTTGCTTAAACCTGCTTAGTTAAACATTACCCAGAGGGCTGGAGAGAGTTGGGAGTTTAGGAATGCTTGCTGCTCTTCCAGAGGATCTGAGTTGAGTTCCCAGAGTGCACAAGGGAGGCTAACAATTGCCTGTAACTGTAGAAGATCCAGGATCTCCCAGGAGAGCCGATACCTTCTTCTGGTTTCAGGCACCCTAATATATATGGCATACATTCACACAACACACAAATATATATATATATATATGTGTGTGTGTGTGTGTACATATACATATATATATATACCTAAAGCTGTTTATTGAGGGAGGGAGGAGGTCTTAAATATAGGCTTACAGCACAATGGGAGAGCCCTGGAGGGCAGAAGTTCGCTACCGATGTTTTACAATCTTGCATCTAAGCTGTTAATGCCCATTGTGCAGGATACATAGACAAGGAACTTCCCTTAAGCATTCAGGAGGGTGGAACCCGGTAGGGAATTAGCTTAGGGAGGATATCAAGGTCAAGGTCAGCAAGCAAGGCAACAGTTACCCAAAATGGGGGCCAGGACCCTACAGGTCCCCCTTTTACTAATAAATGAATTTCTGACTTAGGTTGCATGGGACGTTAGCAGGTTACCTTATCCGTCATGGAGACGCCTGCCCAGGCCACACAGGCACTCTGTCTTAGGTTGGTGAATGCCCCCCAGGAATTACCGGTCTCTGAATACTCATTATCATACAGGCTCAATCGTGTGTGAGTTGCAGAGTTAACTTAAATTTAAAAAATTATAAATGGGGCCTGGAGAGATGGCTCAGCAGTTAGAGCACTAATTGCTCTTCCAGAGGACCCAGGTTCAATTCCCAGCACCCACATGGCAGCTAACAGCTGTCTATAACTCCAAGATCTGACATCCTCACACAGACATCCATGTAGGCAAGCAAAACATCAATGCACATAAAATAAGAAATAAATTTAAAAAAATTGTAAGTGGTATTAATTGTGTGTGTGTGTGTGTGTGTGTGTGTGTGTGTGTGTGTGTGTGTGTGTTTAAGACAGGAGGCCACTGGGTAGCCCTGGCTGACCTGGAACTCTTAAATTTTATAGACCAGGCTAGCCTAGAATTCACAGAGATCCATCTGCCTTTGCCTCCTGAATGTTGAATTACAGATGTGAGCTACTATGCTCTGCCCTGCCTATATGTTTCTTTATTTTTTTGAAATATAAAGCTTTAGCTGGGCCTGGCGGTGGACACTTTTAATCCCAGCACCCAGGACACAAAGGCAAGTGGATCTCTGTGAGTTTGAGGCCAGCCTGGTCTACAAAGTGAGTTCTAGGACAGCTAGGGATGTTACACAGAGAAACCCTGTCTTGGAAAACAAAACATCAAAAAACAAAACAAACAAAAAAACCCTGAAGACTCCATCACTTCAACCACTTTTATTTTATTATGGAATTCTGTAAAAGCTCTTGGCCATCACTCAAGTGTCGTGGTAAGTTAATAATATCCCCTGTTCTTTCTGGAGGGTGGGGAGGCAGCCAGTTGGGCTAGAGATGGCTCAGTAAGTAAAAACATCTAGCTATCCTTTGACCACACATACCACGTGGCGGTGGTCCAATTCTCTTGGCAGGGTGCTTTTTTTTTTTTTTTAAGTTTTTAAATTTTATGTGTATGTGATTATATCTATATGTGGGAATGCACACTTACTTGCTGGGTCCCATGTAAGGCAGAAGAGGGTGTTGGATCTCCTTTGCTGGAATTATAGATTGTTGAGAGGGATCTGAAATGGGTTGTTGGGAACTTAACTCCAGTCCTCTGACTGCTAGCGCTCTTAACTGAAGAGCCATCTCTCCAGCACATACCCGAGCCATCCCCTCCCCCCCCCCCACACACACAAAGATTTTTTTCCTTTTTTTTAAAAAATTTTGTTTGTTTGTTTGTTTTGAGGTAGGTTTCACTGTGTAGCCCTGGCTATCACAGAGTCCAAGTTCCATCTGCCTCTGCTGCCCAAGTGCTGGAATTAAAGGCGTGGCGTGGCCCACCACCTGTAGAAATAATGGATTTTTTTTTTCCCAGACAGGGTTTCTCTGTGTAGTTTTGGTTCCTGTCCTGGAACTCACTGTGTAGACCAGGCTGGCCTCGAACTCACAGAGATCCACCTGCCTCTGCCTCCCAAGTGCTGGGATTAAAGGTGTGTGCCACCACCGCTCAGCAAATAATGGATCTTGAGAAACTGTAAATCACCAGCAATCTCTCGGTAGAAGAAGGAATTGGCTGAGGGCTTGGTGACACCAAAGAAAAACCCTGTCAAGGGGGAAATGATTTGTCAGGAGACACTGGAGCTGACACAGTTGTGCACAGCTCTTGCCTTCTACTTCAACCTAAATCCCAGGTTGGGACCCTGAAGACAAACTGGAAGAGGAGGTGCCATTGGGTCTTTTTTTTTTTTTTTTTTCCTTTTTTCTTTTCCCAGTGTTTGCTTTTCACTACGACTGGTTTACTTAGTTAATGTCCAGCTCTGGCTCTGACCCCGATTCTAGGAACAAGGCAAAGTCCACTGGGCTCTTGGACTGTGGGTCTACCTGAAGAGACTAATGACTGACTTAAGTTCACTCTCAAACTATCTGAAGAGGAAATCATGGAGGATTTCCCCCAGGACACAGGACAAACTCTGCATCTTGGCTCTCCCCAGATCTCCAAGTTGGATAGTTCAGAGACAAAGGAGGTTCCCAGCATCTTCCAGCCAATCTATTTATTGTCTGTGGTAGATATTCTGAAGACCCTCTCCTTTACCCATAGTCTGGGTTTTAAACATTTAAAGTTCTTAGGCCTCTGCATGTCAAAGGGTGAGCAAAGAAATTCCCCCGAGGCAATAATAGAGCAGGCTTGAGAGACCAAAGCATTTATTGGTGGGAAAAGAAGACAAGAAGCTGAGAGGGTAAGTCCTGAGGCAACTATGGAGACTGAAGCAGAAAGATTGTGTTAGATTCCAAGAAATGCCTTTTCCCAAAGTCCAGCATTTAGACAAAAGCCAGCATTCCCTCAAGGACTTAAGATAGTCCTTAATTGCTAAAAGGAGTCATTCTTATCTCTGGCAAAGGGGACTTAAT